TCCCCTGCTGGCCCCTCGCAGATGTGCACCTGGATAATTTGTATGTTTTCTCTGAGTGAGGGGCAGGGAAGAAGGATATTTCACATGCAGGTCCTGACTGATCCTTCAGATCAAACTGATCAAAAGGACAATGTAGGCTTGTTTTCCATAGGGGACTCCTTTGTATGGTACTATGCACAGGAAGAGACTAGAAAGAAACTAATGCTACTGCATATGTTTTAAGTATTTTCAATGGTCAAATTAATATCTGGTAACCTTACTGACTTCAGTGAAGTGACACCATAGATCAGTGGTTCTCAGATGTTTTACTCTTAAGGCACCCTGCCTTGGGCCCAAAGCACCTCTTGAAAAATGCTAGTTCTTAGTTTTCCCTCAGTTTTTGACTACAGAAAAATAATAGAGCAAATCTTCTGTTGCAAGGAACTCAAAAACACTCAACAGGTCAGAATGCTTCTAACATTATGAATTCCTGTGTAAAATCTCTGGGTTTATCTTGAGGATCATGTTTGTACAGGCAACAATAACACTGCATGGCACCCTTTGAAAGAATCTCAAGGCACCCCAGGGTGGCACAGGACCCTAGTTGAGAATCACTGAACACAATGCATACAAGGCACTCAAAATCGTATCTAACTTTATCTATGCAGGTGGTCCAGTAAAACATATCACCCAAAAAAAGTTCTCACTCCTTTCATAATTCCTGGACCATCACAGCTACCATATCATTCTAACACTACCATTAAGTTGATGGGAATTTTAGCACTGATTACAACTGGAGAAGAGTTACTGCTGTTTATGGGAATCCTACCCATGATCCTCCCCACTTTCCAAAAGCTCCTGAAATCAACCTCCCATGCCCCCATCCCTCAACTCACTTTTACTCCTAGATCCAAAAATTACCATTTTAATTAAAATCTAGATACTGGAGTTCTCAGGTCAAACTTAGTACTTGTCTATGCTTGGTGTGAAATTCATGTTACATGAAAGTAAATAATTTGCTATAAAATATATTATCTATAGCTGTCTTACCTCTTGATTGCTGATGTGTACATTTGCCTTTTGTTCACATTGCAGAAGCTTCTGGCTAGGAGGCTGAAGTAGTTCTGCCTCTGAAGATTTATTTTTTATCTTATTCCTGAGTTCAGTGCTAAGGGTAACAGTGGAGCTGTCTGTGTGTCCAGAGGTTTGAACTTCCTGAGTTTGTTGCATTCTCCTGTTTGATCCTCTTTTAAGGCTGTAGTTTAACTATATTCATATTTGTTAAAAACACAGCAAGTCATCCAAGATTATTCAATATCATGAGATACTCTGGGGCTCACCCATCCTGTAAGTGTACCTTGGTTATGGAAAACATATAAGTTGTTATACAATATTATTCAAATACTCTTAAATGCAGTGGTATTTTTACACAACTTACATACAATAATTTTTCAATACAGTACAGTGTTAAGACTTGGCTTAATTTTGATGTCTCAATAAGATCTACAAAACATGCCAAATTTAAAGAATGAGTGATCTTTCTCATACTTAATAATAAAGAATAATATCTAGGCATTGGAGAGCTTTTGTCAGTACAATGTTTTCAAGTGTCTTATTCTTTTTTTTATCAACTCCTTTTAAGACTAGTTGGCTCCAAGCACAGTTAACCATTCTTTTGCTGAAGGAAGAGAGAGATTTTTTTCTTTAGTCTATGATAAAAATGCACTGTCATCTTGTATGCCCAGGCTATCATGTCTTTATATACATATTAATTTAAAACTTATTCTGGGTGTGGTATTTCCAAAAAAACCAAAAATTACTGTTTTAACTCTGTTCCTGTTTAAGTGAAAATATGAATGGGAACAGAATCTAACCAATGTTGACTGGTGAAAAATCCCACCAACATTTCTCAGGGTGCTACTGACATTAATAACATCATGATAAAAGCAAGCAGTAGAGATGTAACTGGAAAACTGAGCAAGAGACCTACCTAATTTTTCTGGCACATTTCTTGTTGCAATATAGTTTCCTCTAATAAAAAGTTGTACACTTTTAATACCTACAGGCTGTGTGTTTTTATTAGTCCTACAGTCAGTCATACTTCAATCATTCCCAGCAACTAAAGGTAAATAACCTCTATGGCTGCGTCCACATAAGCACGGATGTTTGGTTTCCCGGGGACAAGTAGCAGTTGCATGCCTACTTGTCCCTGTGGAACACCCATGCCACTCCTGCTTTGGCACGTGGCAAATTACCCCAGGGGCGGTAGAGGAGGCTGCGGCCAGTGGTGGGCTGACCCCAGCAGTCTTACCTGGGGGTCTCCCAGGGCTGCAGCAACAGTGATCCTGCTGGGCGAAGCCTGGCTGACAGCCGCAGTGTGGCTTCCAGTGGCTTGGCTCTGCTTTTCAGCGGTGTGCACTGCCTGCGTGTGTACTACTCCACTTCTTTTTTCAACCCCTGGATACTGAGGGGTCAAAAAAACCCAAAGAAAAAAAAAACTGGAGTAGTGTGTGCATAGGCAGCATGCCCTGATAGCATGGAGAACATGTGACTGTGCAGTATGTGGCGCTGCGGATGTGTTTATGGTGCTACATACTGCATGGCTGTGCTTGTCTGGATGCGCCCAATAAATGTGTATCTTTTCTGAGACCTGAGAGTTGGTTGAGAAGAGACGGTAGTGACTGACAGGAGAAACATCCCACTTCATATCTATTTTGATGGAGTTTATGGAGCATGAACGCTATGAAATGACCATGGATGTGGCTGGTTTTATCAAGTGGAAAATATGCAGTATAAGCACTCACTAGCCACGTAACTTAATCATTTTGTTGAAAATTACAACTTGTACAAGAAACTAAATCTAATTTTAAAAAGACCATCCATAGGACTCACTCCTGCAAAGTGAGCAGTGTCAGGAAAAGAGCAGCATGTGAAAAGGGAAGAAAACAATAAAAAATTAACCGAATTTGAGAAATTTCAATGCTCCGGTATGTTTATATTATACTTCCTTCTGTGACTAATGTTAGTAAAGGGAATTGATTTCCAAAGTTGCATAACTGTGTGATCAAATCATTTGTATCTTAGCTTCTCCCAGCAGCAGATTTACTGGAGAAGTTACAAGATTTTTGAGATCCAAAAAGTACAAAGGCCAATGGGAGTCCTATATGATGTGAGAAGGGATAAGTGTAGGGAAAGTTCTAAGTTTAACTCAAAGCTGTACAAACTGCTGCTGTATTACTGTTCTTCATCTTCCCTCTTTGCGCATGAAGGAAAAGCAAAGTACAAAGGAAAGGAAAGGAAAGGGAGAGGTTCTCTGAGAAAAACCTCATAGGGATTTAGCAAAATCATTAGCTGACCCATAGGAGTGTCTCTCTCATGCTGTACATACCCAATTTTGAGGCAAGCCATAAACATAACTAATATTACTAAAGATGTGTAAAGTATTCCTGCAACTGCTCTGCTTCCAGTCATCATTTTCTTTTTTACAATTTGCACTGACATTGTGTTCAAATTCAAGAGATAACCACCGTCCATTAAAATGAAAAGAAAGCCTGCTTCCTTCCTGGAAAGGAATTGTACATGGTAGCGTAATCAAATTATCCACTTACATTCTTTTTTGAACAGTCTCAGCTTGTGATTTCTTTTCCAAAGCCTGCAACGTTTTTATTGATTTGCAGTTTCCAACATAAGCTTACCAATCTTTGCCTTGTATTCTTTTATACAGTATATTCATCACACAAAAAAAGTCAAAGTTCAAGGTTTTCTTTGAAAAAAATCCTCTTTCATGCTTCTCACAAAGCAGTCTGATATCCCCCAAAGCCAAAACAGGGCGGGTGATGGAGAAAATGAACCACCAATTGGAAATGGGGACTAGAGTTTAGGCTTGTCAATCATGATGGGCTAACCAATCCATGGGACTCGAAGACAGATCTGCAATGGGAACCTGGTTTCCGCAGGCACTGCTTAAAGAAACAACACACTTTTTGGGGGCTGATCTTCAGTTCAGAAAAGCCACTTAAATCTTTGATGAATATAAATGAACTCATCACTGTCAGAGTTTGGACGAAGTCGTGTTTATCTACGCACCTACCAGGAACTGTAACGTCCACGCTCGCATTTAACAGTGTTAGTGTCTGTCAATGTGCGCAAACAATTGAAATTCAGTCCTGACAAAGTGCGTTGCTTTCAATACGTGCTAAATCGGTGGTGCTCCAGGTTTTAACAACATCAGTTTCACCTTTGGCTACCAGAGATTATAACTATTGTAATAACAGTAATAACCATAATAGTAACACCGAAGTGAAGAAGTGGTAGGAAGCGGATGAGTACAGGCTCGCAACCTCCATGCAAACTCCCCAGAAGGATTGTATTCTCCTGACGGTCCTTGCTGCTGTCATCCACCAGATCAATCGCTGTTATTATTATTGCAATTACTGCACCGTTGCAAACTAAGTCAAGCCCCCCTCGCTGCGCTGTGTACACAGAACCGACGAGTCCGCTCCCACCACAGCCTCAGCCCCGCCCACCCAATGACACCTCCCCAGACCCCAACTGCCGCTCCCCACGGCAAATGCCGCCGCTGCGCACTGACTGCCGGGACGCAGCGCAGCGAGGTCTCGCGAGATTCGGCCTGAAACCTCACGCGAGCCGCGCTGCGCTCTCGCGAGGCTTCGGCCCTGCCCGCGGACGCAAGTTGCCGGCGGCGGCGCTGAGCGCGGACCCCTCCCCTGCCTGCCCCGCCTC